CATTGCTGTTATTAAATTGACCAAATCATTTCTCAGCAATAACAACCGTCAATAGATAAAATTTTCATTTATCACTACGTCACTTCTTTTCTCTTTCTTCAACAAGTTCAATATATTGTTCGTGAGTCAACAGAGATTGCTTTAAACTTTCCAAGAGTTTTATATTCGGCAATATTATAGCCAAATATCCACCTTTATGCGGTGGTCCCTTGAGAAGTTGCGGATCCTCTGACAACGCCTCGTTAACTTCCACCAACTTTCCTATCATACAGCACTTGATGACGTATGTTTGCCCGTCCAGGCACGATATGGTACAGACATTCGAGTTAGTCTGCAATGGTTGCGCGCCGTGTTTACCCTTGCCCGAGACTTTATTTAAGGATCTATCCAACTTGTCGCTGACCCTAAAGTCAACCTTCTCTATACCTTTGTTGCTTCGCAAAATCACATGACTAGGCGCCAAGGACAGCATGCAGATACGATTACTGTGAATCCATACGCACATGTCGTCTCCAGGCGATTGCACGTCCGTTTTGTAATAGGGGGTAAAATAGCGATCGGTAACCGTAGGAAAATATCCGTTATATTGCACCTCGTCTAACATGTCGGTAATATCCTCGTCGGGAGGAAACGTGAACGACTCGTCGTCGCTGTCGACGGTCGCCGAAGCCTCGTTATCGCTATCCACTGATCTCTCGTGCTCCTCCTGTTGAGAAATCTCTTTCCCATCAGAAATACCTTCGGCCACATTTTCCCGTACGTCGTCTTCTTCCTTCTGATCGCACGATCTCCTTTCGTCGTTCTCAGATTTCATTCGTTTGGTCTTCGGCCCGTCGGCCTCCGATATCAGATTCATGCTTAGCTCCAAGGTTCTGGATTAGCGAATGTATGTACAATTCCAGTCGTTCTGATCTGCCGTTGTCGCAGGCAACACAGCAATGGTACAAAAATCAATTCCAACAGTCCTTGGATAATCGAATTACTCGTTGAGAACTATTCGTGCGCGACGACTAATCGCTAGTTTCTTGCTGCGCCGGTTTCCCCGTCTCTAACCTCTTACGTCGGAGTTGCGCGCTTTCCGCCCTGCGAATCTCTCGCTGCAACAAACGGCGGGGCAAAAATCAGTTCAATTCGGTTTAATTCGCGCGAGATGACGGGACTCACTTGTTTCTTTATGCATTCGTGCATCTCCCGCTGGATGTGCTCGCAGTAGCCCAGAAACCTTCGGTACGGATGCTGCAAGTATGTACACAGAGTGGTTGAAAAAGGCACATGGCGAAACTCACGAGCGCGACATTACCTCATTCTCGCAGTCCTGAAATCGGTAAAATATCTCGTTACAGGCGGCATTGTGCGTGGCCAGCGATCTGTAATTCATATCTCTGCTTTGGCGAAAGGGGTCCTTTGCAAAACTACTCGTATTTCGTCATTACGCAACCGCGCGATAAACGCTGACTTGCCGGCAGACACCGACACAACCAAAAATTAAAGTTTTACTAATTGTACTATATTAAAGATCGACAATTTTATGAAAGTTACGTTATTCTTTTAATAAAAGTATGTTATTTGTTTTATTAATATTCTGTTAATTAAATTAGCAAGATTATTCTCAATTAATGCTGCTGTGTAGCTGTGTTAAAACTGATGCTTAGAATAATACAGTATATATGTCTGTCATTGTAGTATTTTTAAAAGCGTGTTTTATTTAGATTTTTGTCTTAATAATATTTAGCTAATTAGATCGTTTTTCACATCTATTTTTATACAGTTAATTTTTAATTCTTCTTCAGCCGGGTGTGCGCATCGCTAATTGGTCAATGTAGCATAGAACCTTCTGATTGGTTCATCCGGTGAAAAAACTCCAAGCTCCGATTGATATGAGTGGTTGTGATCAATTTAAACTGTTGTAAAAAAAAGTAATTAATCAGACTACGAACAAAACGGATTAAAATTAAACTTATTTAATTGATTGAACCGATTCGCAATTAATCCTTAATCTCTAAAGGCCGTATTACACTATGGGATTAATTTTGTTATCTCGATTACGGTTGGAGTAAGGCGCGTGTCGCGTACAGTGCCATGGAAACTCAGCCTAACGGTTGACGTTTGCGGGGACTGACCAATCAGCCGGCAAGCGGCTGCGCTCCGATTGGTCAATTCGCAAACTGCCAATCGAGACCGCCTTTACATTACGGATGGCGCTCTCGTCGCGCTTCCCCGGGAACCGATAATACTCGCGACTGACGACGCTTGGCCGGCTTGGCGCCTTCTGCCGTATCGCGGCTCGCAGCTGCAGTGAGCGTCGGTGTACGTAAAATGGCGGACGGTGACATTGATTTGTACGCCGACGATCTCGAGCAAGATTTCGCGCAGGTAATTCGCATTTCTCTTTGATAGCAATTAAAAGTACAGGACCGCGTTCTTTCTTTCTCTCTCTCTCTCTTCCCGTTCGATCGGAAGGAAATGAAGGAACGAGCCGCGCTCTGACACTGTTCACAGTTCACACGCTTCGACGATCGCGACGCGCCATATCGTGCCGCGCCGCAACTGTGTGAGAGCGAACGAGCGAACTGAGCGATCATCGTTCGGCGTCGATTCCGCGCGCGGCCCGAGACCGCGGCTGAAGTGTGTCGGCGTCATGGTGGACGGGCGACCGTCGCTAACGATCGGCTCGCGTCGCTGATCTCCCTCATCGTGAACATTTTACTGTGTGCCGTCCCTCCTCCCCCCGCGCGCACGTCCGGCACGTCGCTCGAGCCGGCGGCGGGCGACTACTCCGAGGAACCGGAGGAACGAACGCCGAGCGGCCGCGTGCGCGCGCCCGCGCGCGCGAACGCGAACGAGCGTACGAAACCTACTGCGAACGGAACGAACGAGCGAATTAGTTGTAGCGAGCACGCATATACAAAGACGAGAGAGCTTCACTCCAAGAGTGTTACCTCCTTCTTGTTGCCGCGCAGTTGACCGATCCCGCCTGTCTAGCTAGTGCCTGCCTGCTGCCGTCGATCGCGCGCGTACCCGTGTACCCGTTCCCCGGAGCTAAGCGCTAAAACAGTAATACGGGTTCGCAACAGGAATCGACCGCAAAATGGTGCTAGCGGTAAGGCGAATATCGTGTTGTTAACTCTTTCACTCTTTCGTTCCTTTCCCCCCCCCCCTTTACCCCTTTCTTCTGACCCTCTCCCTCTCTCGCCCCTACGCCCGCTTCCCCCTTGACTCTTATGATTTTCAACCCCTCACACGCGGCACGCATATATCCTCCCTCACATGCAAACACACACGCACACACCCACACACATATGTACATAGACGTTGCAGCGTATCGCACTGCATGCACGATTACATTTTCTCTTTGCATTCTCTCTTTTATTGATTTTCCACTTCCTATTTTCGAATGTCTTTTTCTCTATTGTGAAAAAAAAAAGCGCGGCTGCTTAGAATATCGCGGCAGGGATTGAAACCGATTGTAATTTCATTTTTTTACCGCTCAGAATCTGGGATCCCGAGATATTGGATCTTTAATCGGTCCTTTTCACGCGAGATAATATTTGCATACAACTTTTGTGTGTGAGAGAAAATTCAAGTGGCGACAGTCGGCGACGAATTACAGTTGAATGCACTTGTAACTATCTTACTTCTTTTTGGAAAAGTGTTTATTACATTTCTTACGTTCCAGATAAAGTATAAATGTAGCTGCATTTTGCTAAAGCGAGGAGACGCAAGGAATAATTAAAAAACGGAATAGCACATGTCGCATATATATGTATAAAAACGTAGATCCTTGCACGTCTGTGGTATCAATAGTCTGAAATTGAAATTGAAATTACAGTGGGTTCAATCTCTGCTTTATCCTCACAATGCAAAAAGTCTGTATATCTGCATATCTGTTACAGTCGAAGTGTACGATTGGTTGATCGGTTGAACCACAAGGTGCGCAGGAAGTCGCGTGTAATAAGAAAATGGTACATCTAAACGTTTCTTTACATATTGATGTAATTTATTTTCATAAATTAGTTTATAATGCTGGGCTCTCGCAGGGGCTGTCTTGAGATCACGTTGTTATGTTGAGCGTTATTCTCCTCGATCTTGAGAAAAAAAATCCAGTTTTTCAAATTTGTGAACCACTTTAAACATGGATTGCCTTTGTTAAACCTTTTCGCGGTTCCCGTTCGTGATACTTGATGCTCAGATAACAAACTGGACTCAATGCGTTCCTGTAAATTTGATGGCACTTTTCTTTTTATTTTCAAAGAAAGATTTTTTTTAATCAGAGATTTTACTAAGCTTCTTTCGGTCAAACATAAGTTACACAGCTTTAACAATGACCATGATAAAGAAATAGCATTAGACTAAAGTAATAAAGTAATTTGTCTGGTGTTGCATTCTCTGACCTCTAAATATTTTGTACAATTATTTTGCACTTTGACTGTAACATATTCAGTACGAGTTCAGTGCGTGTTTTAAATAAAAATTACAAAATTCTACCATGGAACATTTGCATATAACATTTGTCGATTAATCTGCCTCTCATCTAAAATACAATGGAGATTACTATTAATATCACTAACATCGCGCGTTTCTTCCAATGTAAAATAAGTGTTTTGTTATACTTTTCTTTATATAATGCTCGCCTACGCATCTGTTTCAGGACGAATTCGCGGGTGATGGCGTTGATCTTTACGACGACGTGATTGCCGCTCCAGCAGGTGGCAATGGCGGCGTCTCTTCCGGAAATACCGGAGAGGGTGGTGGCGATACCACGTCCCCGAATGAGGAAACTAATGGGAACGCGCCTTATCACCAACTTGGCAATAATATACAGCCGAATCAAATTGGAAGACGACATCAGTTATACGTTGGCAACTTGACATGGGTATATACATGTGCACAGAATTAATTCTAACGTTTTAAAGATTTCTTCTTTTCCTACCACTCTTCTCGACAGTGGAATCGTTTACTTTCAATGTATAAATTAAAATATTATCATATACATTCCAGACAAAGAGACTACATTCCATAAACTAATATTTCTTAAACTTTAATATGATATATATTTCCTTCTGCTTTCTATATTTATGATTTTGCAATATGGATAAATCATATTCTTTTTTAGTAGAAAACTTTAAATTTTACTGTTCTTTTTGCACTGAAAATTATTCAATAACAATAAATTTTATTTTTAGTGGACAAGTGACCAAGATATAACCGATGCTGTTCAAAGCATTGGGGTGTCTGACTTTGTGGAAGTAAAGTTCTTTGAGAACCGTGCCAATGGCCAATCCAAAGGTTTCTGTGTGATATCCTTGGGCTCAGAGCAGAGCATGAGAATATGCATGGAGAGGCTGCCTAAAAAGGAGTTGCATGGGCAAAATCCCGTAGTAACTTTTCCTACTAAACAGGCTCTCAATCAGGTATGTATTATTATGCGTTGTGACAAAAAGATGGTATATAAATTAATTTCGCAGTGTACACAAATAGTCCGCTACGATATTCACATTAACGGGTACACGTGAGACTTATACACAACAATCTATTTTTTATGTGTTCTCAGTTTGAGTCGCAGTGTAAGACGCGACCTGCTCCGGCTCCGCAGCAGAGTCAGAGCCAACGTCCTCATAACCCACATCAACATCAGCCCCCAATGCCACCTCATCAACAGCATCCCCAACACCCTCAACATCCGCAACATTCGCAACAAAATCACGGTCCTAGAATGATGATGGGTCCTCCACAAGTAAGGCCGCAAAGAATGCCGCCACCCGGAATGGGTCCACCAGGGCCCGGTGGACCAGGTCAGCAAGGTCCGCCACGTATGCATGGTCCGCCGTTAGGACCAGGCCCAGGACCGCATCATCCGTTGCCTGGTCATCCTAATCAAGGTCCGCCACCTGGCTATCAGCAGGGACCGTGGAACGGACCGCGTCCAAATGGTCCTCCAGGACCGCCTCGAGGACCTAGTGGAGGTCCACCTCAACAAGGGCCACCTGGACCAGGTCCCGGTCAGCATAGACCCCCTGGAATGGTATGTACGAACAGATTTTTCTGTTTCTTTAACAGACAAAATATACTTTCAACCGTATTGGACTATATTTTCGTATCCATTTAGCGTTATGTTTAGCGCTAAATGCGATTAAATTTGAAATTTATTATTTATGACAAGATTTGTACGCCCTGAATTTTATTCATAGCTAACGTCTTGAAGCACATGCACTACAACCGCAAAAAAAGAATATAAATGTAACAAAATATAAATAAATTTTATTTCTTTTTGAACAATTGGTTAGATTATAGGGTACTATCTTAATAACAAAAATATATTTTGAAGACATGAAATAAGTTAAGAATTACATGAACTTAAATATGTTAAAACATATTTACTCTTAAGATTGATCACACAGAGAAATTTGCGTTGTACGATATTATTTACGACTTTAACGATCGCCTTAGAAATCGTTATATAATATTGTTTTAGAAGTTTCCATGAGGAGGGGGGAGGGTGTATTATAATCTTAAATGTATTCTTAAACTGCGCAGAATCTAATTACTAATAAATACATTCAAAACATGTTTTAATAATTATTTTAATAAAGTAATCACATATAAAGTTTGCGAGATGAATTTGTAAAGAGATATCTGCACAGTTTCTAAACAGAATCGTTTAGTGCATGTCTACTGTAAATAATCATAGTACAGGCTTAAATATGTTTTGCACTTTCATGTCTTACGCGTAGAGTTGCGCTAGAGACCTTTCAGAAGCCAGTTACCATATGCCACAGGTAACCGATAATGAGGTTTTTTTTTCAATTCTATTTTTCGAAACCGTTTCGTGTCTAATTATTTTCTTCACATTATTCGAATTCAAAGAAATGCAATTTTAAAAATTAGATTTTTTTTTATAAATAACTGGCTATTTAGAAGATAAAATAACTATTAAAAAAAAAAATAATTTGCAACATTACGCAGAAAAAATTATAATGTAAATATATCAATTTTCCTAAATTGTGTTTGGACTAGCTAGGTGGGGGCTTAATTTTATTAATGCATTAAATATTACCACATAATGTGCGTCATCTACAATAAGAAGGTTATTGACAATATGTTACAACATGATATTACGCTTTTAGAAAAATATAGATCCATGTTAGACATTATAATACCCAATAATATTCAATAAAACTATATAAACACAAATTTTTAAGAGAATATTGAAATGCTCTTTTGTCATTGTACTTTAGTAGATATGTATTAACGATTATATTTTTTATACATATACAAATTTTACAAAATATCAATTTTATAAAATATGCTAACGTTCAAATTTCTTATAAACTCGTCCCTTGTCCTCTAATTATAAAATTATTTGTTTCTTTCGTGAAGCAAGACAATAATTATCTATGTAATTATGATAGAGTGAAATAGAACCTTCATCTGTCTTCATTCAGCAATTTCACGGTGGTCCACCCGGGCCTCCTGGTCAAGGACCTCCACGTGGGCCTCCTGGACATCCTGGTGGACCTCCAGGGGATCCCAGAGGTGCGCAGCCTCGTCCTGAATGGAATAGACCACCAGGTTCGTACTCAGACCGATTTTCGCTGTTCTCCCAAAACCTTCATGTTTACCTTTGTAAAATGTCGTTTATAATTCAAAACTTTTATGATTTATTACTCCTCTGAAACATCTTGAATGCTTTCGTATCACCTTTTCTGCATGACGGAGTAAACGGTAGATAGAAACAACGAAGATGGTGGGAACTTGCGAACAAAAATCGTGTTGAAATAGTAGTAGTAGTAGTGTACTATGTCATTTCAATTTGCTAACAGCAAATTGGTATTACTGATGCCATTGTTCAATATGTGCATAGGAATGCATCATGGGCCTCAGGGACCACCAGGTTTCCCTCAACATCAACATATGCAAGGGCCGCAGCCTGGCCAAGGCCCACCACAGAGAGGACCTCCTCCAGGTTCTATGGGTGGTGAGAGACTTAGAATGCTCGTTCATTGTTACAAATTTTAATCGTTCACTACACCGCGAGATGCATGATATTGAGGGAAATTGATCTGGCAGAAGCATTGAGGTGCAAGGTGTTTCAAAGGATCATTTCATAATTGAAAATTATCAAAAATCGTGTAATTGTTCACATTGAACTTAACGACTTTTAAAATATCATCCATAAATACCACTGTATATTTATTGCACCGAATATTGTTAAATATTACTATTTATTATTAAAATATTCAATATACATAATGGGAGAAAGTACATCAACGATTTATTTCAAGATATAATTCGATTTTGAAATAGGATTTACTTCCATTATCCGTTCTCGTTCTCATGTATTTATAGTCACGATACGTTCATCATTTATATCTGGCAAATGAAAAATGTCTTAGATATTAATCAAGTACATTGTTAGGTCCAGGCGGGCCGCCTCCGGGACACGGTGGGCCACCACAAGGTCCTCCTCAGGGACCACCGGGTGGCCCTGCACCCCATGTCAATCCCGCATTCTTTCCGCAAGGACCACCTCATCAACATCCCGGTCAACATCCACCGGGACCTCCTGGTCCGCCTCATGGCCCACCACATGGGCCGCCTCACGGTCCTCCTCATGGTCCACCTCATGGCCCACCTCATGGACAATCACACGGACCGCCACATGTACCACCACACGGTTATGGCCCACCAAGTGCACAAGTATTATCTTATTATCACGTCTACGTATTTTAACCAAAATATTAAACCAATTAATACAATAGATAATTCGTATGTAATATGAGTTAAATTTCAATAGTCATGTTTCGATAGTTACTACCTCGAACAGCTTCTCTGCAACATAATTTATCTATATTACCACCAAAACAAAAGGAAAGGAATTGATTGCTCTTATTATCAATCGTAAAGAAAACATTGAGGCGTTACGTAAAATGTTACTCATTTTCAGAATTATAATTAAAAAACAATTATAATTATAGTTGTGAATACAACACGGTCTATTCAAATAAATTCGCTTACGTTATTAATGTTCTGTAAAAATTTGGCATCAGCAGGTAGAAGCAACTTTATAGATATGCTCATTGTAGAATAGAAATTCTATAATATATAGATAATAATATCTACAAAGTGTATAATATCTCAATGCAAATAGATTTAATAACAATTTTCTATATAATTTTTGTAACTTATAGGCTCCTTATGGAGCACCTGGGCCTGATCATCGCCCGGAAGGTCCACCGCCGCTCACTGAGCAAGAATTCGAGGAAATAATGGGCCGTAATCGTACAGTGTCGTCGTCCGCAATCGCACGAGCGGTATCTGACGCCGCGGCAGGCGAATATGCAAGTGCCATAGAGACCTTGGTGACTGCTATCTCGCTGATAAAACAGTCCAAGGTAGCCGCAGACGACAGATGCAAGATCTTGATCAGTTCTCTTCAAGATACCCTACGCGGTGTTGAAACGAAGAGCTATGGGTCCGGACGTAGAGGTGAGTTAAATATATCTGCGTGTAGTGTAACTCATAATCCATAAAATTCTGCCGTTAAAAAGTGGTAGAATTTATAGTTTGGGATTACGAGTCGTTGTAGTGCTGTGATATGATTGAGAGGAGCACGGGAATGTAGGGTAATGAGATGATGATATTGAATGAGATGTGTCCCCAAAAATTTCGCGACTGTACGAGTCAGTGACTCTACGAATATGCGCCCGATTCGGCTCGTGGTAATGAGGGCAATGGATATTTTCCTGGAATTTATTTATAAATTTATTTAGCACGGCCAGGCGCTAGCGAGAAACGCGTTTGTCTGGCTAATTAGTGTAGTGCCGTTTTGGTAGGGGCACGCGCGCGTCACAATAGCTTTGAAAATTTTCGCATTAGAAGAAGAAAGAACAAATATAGTCCATAGAATTAATGATCGTTTACATTTTAAGATATTAAATCATAAAAGTCTTCTCTACGCAAATATGTTATTTTAACTTTGTCTTAAAACTTAGTCATGCTGTCCATCTCACAGATAACGAATTTTCTTACAGAGCGTTCACGTTCGCGTGACAGAGAGCGCAGTCATAGGAGACGACGCGAGCGGTCCAGGAGTCGGGACCGTGAATATCGTGAACGTAGCAGAGACCGCGAGCGGGATCGTGATCGCGAGAGAGAACGGGATCGTGATAGGGACAGGGAACGTTATTACAGCGAGCCATATCCGAGAGAACGTTCCCGCAGCAGAGAAAGAGAGCGTGAACGTGAAAGAGATCGTGAATATAGAGAGCGAAGCAGAGAAGAAAGGTAAGCCAAATGATCTCACCAGACTAATCCCGGCTAAGGACCCGGGAAACATAGATACCATCCGTGGGCCTCCCCACGCCTTGCCCAGACCGGGCTAAAAACTAATTTGTGGCGAATGGGTAACACCACCCCCATCCGCCACCCGCCCCCTCCGAGGGTGCTGCAAGCACAAGGATTTTACATTAACCCTGGTACCATATATCAAAAAGAACGTAAAAAGAAGTAGATAGTGCAGTAAAGATTAAATAACATATTAGAACAATACTTTCAATTCGCTTTTAATTTTTCTCATATAATTATAATTTTAATTAATAGTCCGTGTACATGATTACAGGGTTTCATGTTTCTGAGTGATATTAAAATATTCTGATTGCCTTTATTACGCATTGCTCGCAAGTTATATTTTATCCAGTAGTCAGCATTTTTCGTCGTTGTTCACTGATTTAAAATATCTTTATAAAATATAGCGAGATACCGCGTTAAAGATGATATAGGTACACACAATATATTCGCGAGTCTTAAAATTATTATAAATTGTGATGAACAACTAAAAGATCATAAGCAGCCGCGTGTAACTGACTCTTACATTAAACTGTGCGTCTTGCTTGTTCCACGCGTGCTTATAAAAGGTCACGTTTTGCTTGTATACGTGAGAAAACAAAAAAGAGAATACAATCTTTTTTTACACAACGTGAATGCACGTAAGAGAGTAGCGAGTTATAAACAAATTAAGAAAGTACATAAAAATTTTCATGTTTCTATTTACATATTATCATATCTTACATTGAGATATTTTTTTAGGAGTCATTTTATTACGTTTAGTTTTCGCGCGAGTATACTTGAAATATAGCACCATAAAGATGCTATTCCCATACATAATACAAATGATATACAACTAATAAAAATATATTAACGTTTTACTTGAATAAAATTATAAAATTTTTACTTTTTCACGAACAGTTTGTAATCTTTATGTCGTCCTATACTTCATAGTATACTTCGGTAATAGAAACGGTTAATAATGCTGCAATTTATAGTTTATAAATAACATAATTAATATAAAATAAATATACTAATTCTTGTATCAAATACACTATTTAAAGTACTGTATATATTGTCTATATACTATTATGTAAGAAAAACATGGACACAATGAGATCTTATACATTAATGAATAACTTAAAAATGCTTGATTATATAATCATACTCGAAAAAATTATTAGCAGGATATGCAATCAGAAAAAATTGCAATGTAACATTGATTGCGATATAGACATGATTTGACAACTCGAGAGCTAATTTTACTCATGATTTATAAATTGCGGCTATCGCTATAAATACGCGCGCACTATAATTAAATATAAGATAAACATAGTATTGACTTTTTTGTGGTATGATTAGTGTATGTAATATATTTGTGTATATTTTTGTATGTAATTATTATGTAATTTATAAAATAGCGTAAACCTCTCGCAAGACATGTCTCTCTCGTTGATATTGAAACAACGATCCGAGCTATCGTCTTTTTTAGGATAATTTTTGCTTTTAATGAAATGTACTAAGCCTGGTTAATAGTACATAAACCGTCATAACAGAATATCCATTTTCCATTAGTACAACACGTCAGTCAGCCAGGCCAAGAGTAAAAGAGGAACCGCCAGAGACGGCGCCCGTCTCGTCTTCCAAGGCGACTAGGTAATTGACTTTTTTTCATTACGGCGATTGCATGTAGACTTAAATGAACGTTAAGTAAACGACGAAATGACGATAAGAAATGTCACGTGTTCATATTGCGCGGGCAAATAGATTCATGCCCTTTCCTTCATTTTTCATTTTGGACACTTTCGGAGAGAAAAAAAACACATATACGTAGGATAATGAAGTAAAAAAAGCTTTAATAATGATTAACATAATCGGAAAGACAGAAAATTGTTGTTCGATTAATAGATCCTCTATTGCTGGACTTGTAAGGAAGAAATCAAGGAGAAACGTATTATCTTTAGGTATTTATATTGCCGTTGTAAAAATTACGAAATCACGTGTTTGTTATCGTTATAATTGCATAATCATGTCTCTATACTTGTTGCGTGCCGATTTATTTTATGTTTATGCGCTTTCGTGAACAAAATACATCGGTTAGCAGAATTATTGAAGGAAATAGAGTGAGAGAGACAAAGAGAGCAGTACATATTTTTCATCGTTCCTTTTGTATTCGTGAATAACACGAGATTAACGTTTTATAGTAAAGTGGACTCGTAGATATGACGAAAGTATGCAAAGCAGCATTAAAATAAGATAATTGGCTGACGTAACTTGTGTAGGTATTATGACGATCGCTACAGAGAACGCGAGCGAGATCGAGAACGAGAATCGAGCCGGAGACCATCCGAGCGGGAACGGGAACCGGAACGGGAACGTGAACGTGAACGAGAACGGGATCGTCGGGATGAACGTGGAGACTCCTCGCATCGCTCAAGACACTAAAACAAAAGGAAAGAAAGAAGCACTGAAGACGATGCGAGCAAGGCATGTCAACATGACATAGGATCGATGATGAAGCAGTAAATGCAACAACATACACACTCACACACTGCGATCCTCGTCTTTTAATTCTCTTGAAGTATAAAGTATATTACGAACATTTTTGACATCCAAAGATTTATTCATGATTATTAATGACACGCGGCATTATCGAGGAACATTGTAGGATACACGGTAAAAGGGTAATTTCGAGATTTGCTTAACGAATAGTATGAAGATTTAATAGACTCCACATAGAATTCTGAACGTTATTGTCTTGTTTCGAAATAACCGAACTCAAGTTTTCGGTATAGAGTTGCCGTGAAATCTCTTCATTAATCGCGGAGTCCTTTTGTCTTACGTATGTATTAATATTATAATGTACTACATGTATACACATATACATATATCCACTGTAACTGTGTTATGATTAAGGAAATATTCATTTAGTCAGAGAGAGGGTTTGTAAACGAATAGTTATCGCGTATGAGTGTCGAAGGGAAGGTAAGAAGGAAAAAAAAAAGACATCTTGATTCGAGATCGTCCGAGATATGATTCGCAGTGACAAGAAACAGAACGAGAGCAAGATGCGTCAAGAACAAGAGAAGGAAGAACGAAGATATCTACGCGAGAAAACCATCAGCCTCCTTCTGCACGGACGATTCAAGATTGTATCTTAACGTAATACATATATACGCTTTCAAAAAAAAAAAAAAAATATAAATGCTAAACATGTCTTTACTTTATTCATCTGTACACACAAATTCCTGATAATAAGAAAAAGAGAGAACTATGTTTTTGTTTCTGCGATTTTACGAGTTCCCGAGTTCACAAGTTTCTCGAAAAGCTGGATTGTTATGTGTAAAAATATGTATTAATTCTCTGATGCGTGTTATCTATGAGATTCATGAAACCTTTCACAAGATTATTAAAAAAAAAAAAACTACGCACATCCGAGAATTAATTATGGCGAAAAGGGAAATATTCTGTCAGTAAATGAGGTGAATATGAATTAATTATATACGATTCGCTTTTCGAAGAAATGAAAATATTGAGAATGGAGTACGTTTTATAATAAGAAATTAGGAATAAATGTGCTAATATTATGTTTGTGAGCTATAGAGATTGTTATTTCATGTATCTTCTACAAAAATCTACACCATAATTGTTGTTAATTCCATTATTGTTCTTAATAATAATAAGTTTTATGAAGCATATTATGAAAATATTGTTATTTTACATTAATAATATCTTCATAATACCAGAAATTTATACAAATTTCTCAAAGGATATTTTAGAATATGTCTCACAAAACATTATATGATCCAATTATTCCTATACAACATTAATAAACTCCTGATCTTTTGTGTTGTATACTGTAAGACTAACAATAAGTGCACATTACCTCGAGAGAAAGAGAGCTGTTGTTACCCAACAGAGCTCGGAAAACCGCAACCGTTCCGCCGACGTACTATAAGTCACCGTTGCGATTATTTGTCATATACTTTTGATTTCACGTAGTATTTTTGTTTGCGTAATAGAGTTGGTCCGCTTTCGTTCGAGAGCGGCGCGAGTAAAAAGTTGCCTGGGAGAAATATGTATGGAACGGTAATGGGTAAGTGCAACAACCGAATGCAACTCTATACACATTTAATTATACTTAATTTTAAGCGTATTATTTTTGCGTACAACACGAAACGGATATGCATTTTTTGCATATCTGTTTGCAAAAAACAACTTTTATTTACTTCCATGATATTCTCTTTAAAAAAAAAAAGACAAGACGTATTTGTAAACGATTTGATGTAGAAACGTAACTTGATATTTTGCAGACTATATTAACATGTTGTCCACTGTGCACCTGTTATTTAATAATCTCGACAAGGAGTGCAACATTTTCTTTTTATTTTATTCGTAATCTATCTATCTATCATATACACAAATTGTTGAAATAATTTTATATTATGTATATTCAAAGTATTAGAACAATTGCACAGCGGAGAGCAACGTATTAAGACCTTCTATACAAAGTACTTCCTCTTTATATGATTCGATCTCGCCGTAACTGTCATAATTAACAAAATAATTATCGGGGGAAAATGTATCAATAATATTATAAGCTTTTCTTAGAAGATCCGTAATTTATACTTATTTTATTTATAATTTTATGTCGTTTATTTCGATATGTATATATTTTAACATATATATCCGTGTAAGTTGTCTGAGTCTTCAAATATTTCTCGTGCATTACACGGTATATAAAGTTTTAAATAAAATTTTATCCTAAATTCTAATAATTACGGTTCATCTAAAGTGGGCTTTATTAGAAATATTTGTCAATGTATACGTTTTCTCTATCATCAACATTTAAAGCACAATGCTTTTATTTTATGAAAACTGTAGGACATGATCAATAGCAATTATTGAAATAATTGATCTAAAATGCTAAAAATGTCAAGCGCTGCGATCTCAATCTGCAAGAATGGAAGCATAAAACAAACAACCTGCCTATTTGAAAGGAAATTTTCTGCTTCCAAATTGTATTATAAAATTTATTAGAAACATGGAGATACGATATTGATATCTTGTGATTTATTGTAAAATGAAGTGTCTTCTCCGCGATTGTGCAAAGACAGGCACTTGCGTTTGATGCAAGCTTCGCAAGTTACGATATTCACTAAAAGAAAACCTGAAACGTCCATTTATGAATAACTAAATGTACAGTCATGACTCAAATACTTTGCTCAAAACTTCATAATGCTCAAATCATGTTATGTTGTAGCTAAAAATTATATATATATTATATATATATACATACGAATATATATATTGGTAGGAAATTTTTGACATTTTGCTGACTTTTTTATACTTTTTTAAATAATTATATATATACATATATACAAAAGGATTATGTAGATAAATTATGTAAAGAGCTAAGTATAACAAAGATTATCTAGTCACATTGCGATAGAAACGTCACAAAGTAAAGTTTTGTACATTTTATTGCTATTTGAACTGTGATACCGATATACACTCCATGCAAAAAAGTCTCTTATTAAATATTTTTCTAAACTTAATAATTCCATACGATAATAAGCTTTTTGTTTTGCTTTTATATCAAAGGAATAATGTTCGGTGCTATTGCATTACGGTACACAACGTGTTTATAGAAATAATGATGGAAATCGTCACAAGATTTGCGTGAACAACTTTTATATGGATTTATTTAAGAATATACACATATATCGATATTTAATATAAAGATCTTGCTGTAAGTCAGACCTGACGCTACTAAAGTATATATGCAATATATTACAATAATGTCAATATATAAATTATGTTAAATCTTGATTTAATGTATCGCGAACGATCTGGATGTTGAGTTTTTTTTTTTTACTAAAGATCAGCCTGCAAAATCATAGCAAGAATTATAAATGCCGAATGTGTATAATAGGCCACGCACACGAAGTTATATTTACACGTTGTATGCGTGTAATTGTAATATGTATTTCGATAACGTCAAATAAGGTAAGTGATAAGACAAATAATGTAATATTCATGTAAATCTAGATGTACACTTTTCCTTTTCCCGATCTCTTGCAAGAAGAACTTAATAATGCGGCGTCAGGGATCGTGCGAGAATATTTTATTTACTGTATATGCATGTCTAATAACTCTATATACGAAAAGACTATGATCAGTCGTTGCAGTTGTGATTATTGATAATATTACAATTATAACGATATAAAAATGGTACATTCCGAACAAAAGTAGTCAATTTGAAAAATGCGTGGCTCTGTCGAGACGATATGATAATAATGTTTGTATTATATAGCGATTTTGTTCCGTCTTACGGTTTATGATGTCCTTCTGTACTGTCCAACTTGCAACTGTGATAACGAATGTACCGAGATAATAAATCCAAATATTTGCGATAGAAAAAAAATCTACTAGATAGGTAATAAATAATAGATTCAAGTACGTTTGAAGAGAGCTTTATTTTAAGAGAAATGTATAGAGTACGTGTTACTTTGTTTTATTTGACTCTTATTTACAATATTTACTGATGAAGATTGCATCTAGTGAGCTTTCTCTCTATCATACAGTTTACATGGTAGGCATGCCCGCAACGGAAGATCGCGATTCCATTGTCACCTAGCAAAATTGGCGTCTGTAAAGACAACGTGCAGCCTGGGCACGTCAATGATTTAATCTTATGACGCATACCCCAATGATGAGCGCCTGTCCCGAACACATTTTTATCTATTGGTCGCCTTAAATCTTTCTCGAGAGCTTTCGCCAGCTGTTCGCCTATCTGCGACAATGAAAATAATATTTAATATCTTAATTAATATTTACTATCTCTATATTCATACTCTCAGAGAGGGAAGGGAGGAGCCTTAAATTGCTTAAGAGTCAACTTGATTAGTCTAATTGTTAACTATTGGTCGTAGAAAGATCTTGGTTTTTCTTATTTGAAATTATTCGATTGCAAGAAGTCAATGTGAAAGTTATAGCGCGTTTTCTATTAGCAATCTTCTTAACAAAAAGATTTTAAAGGAAAATAAGCTGGACGAGTTGTATTGATTCATTCTATATGTATATCTAGACAACATATAAATCTGGAAGATATCTAATATCTTTCCAAGTCTTCAAATTGATGTTGTTTAGATACTTCGTTATTTTTAGAAATAGTAGTGAGATTACCTGTGGCGAGCAAATTGTACCATATTCCGATGATAATTGATTAGTTTTACTGAAATCGATTGACTTCTTCAAGCCTCGGCGATGCAGCATTTTTGTAAATATGATCGACTGGAATATGCTACAATAAAAATAATATATTAGTACTTATCAATACTTATTGTTAGCCGCAAAACTTTTAGTCGAGATTAATTAAATTTCTTTATGTATACAGACATACACTTTTAATCATAATCGTATATTATTTTAATTAAATAAAATTACTTATAAATTTTATTTTGATTTAGCTATTATTTAATCTTATCTTTATTCTTATTTTTATTTTCTGTATTTATATTTTAGAGTTTTTACATTTATTTTTATAACAGTATCGATTGTTAGCAAACAGGCCAAGGACGCTGTAATTTTATATAGCGTTGCATTCTATATTCTTCTACAATTTATAGAATGATGAACAGAAAATGAGTAATCTTGTTAATATTGATGGCAATATAAGAGTTCTATTAATAATAAAAAGTATCGAATATTATACTCGTCGAAAAAACTCTTCTCTTTAAATCTTTAAAAATGTTTATGACAAATTTTAATGTTGCAAAGAAAAATTAATGTAATTCTGCAATACTGAACGACTTTTTTAGACAATATTTATATTACTTCTTAATTATCAATGAAATTCTTATTAACTTTCGCTGTAAGATCTGTATATATCACACTACTTTGTCATCATTCTGTAAAAGAAAGAATACAGATCGATCTTCTCTATCTTGAAGATTTTTCAATACCTTCTGTCCAAATCAATGTCCGGTATCATGCTCTCGAGCTTAATCAGAAACGCCGTAGCCTCGTCCGGTCCCTCTCTACTCATGATCTCTCTGGCAATCCCGCTCCAATCTATCAGCACGTCATAATCGGGCTTCCTCGCCAAAGGCATCGCGCAGAACAGGCAAGTGCCATCCTGGATCTCGCTCAGGCACATGGTCACGCAACTCCACTGTTGCTCATTTAGCGCCGGCAGAAGAAACGACAGCACAACATTGTCCCTGGTCTGAAGGCACTGTCTTAACAGGTCGTCCAGCGCGCTACGTTGCTCGACGCGGATGGACAGGTACACGCGCCACATGTAAGGTACCTTGTCGCAAATATTGCTACATTCTTTCGGCAGTTCGTCAGCGTATCTCTTAATCAAGGACTCGCCGACCGCTAGGAACTTGGGCTCCACGGTCTTGTCCATCGGGTAGGGATAACCGCAGCTGCACCTGGCATAAGTCGGCGCGTTGATCTCGATGAAGGCTCTCGCGAAATGCCGCACGACGTAATCGTTGACGATGGAGTCAATCGACTGCACGAAAGCATTTTCCAGAAACACGTTGTAGTAATGCAATTCCGCGGCGCGAGTAACTTCATAGATGAAAGTCTGAAGCCCGGGCGAGTCTCGGTAGGAGTCTTTGACAGTTCTCATCCTCTTATCCGTCTCCAAGATAATTTCCTCGATTTCCTTCTCCGACATACCGGGTCTGATGCTGTTCGCCAGATCGTAAATCGAGCGTAAATCGGACTGCACCCTGTGCGTGACGTTTTCCTGAAAATCCGCTCTTCGATGACCGTCGTCTTTGATATCTAACACTTCCCCGTCGTAATTTCCCGAATCAAGTACGTCCTCCGAAGCTGTCCCGAGCGTATCTCCCCGTGCGAGATCTTCCTGATCTGTCCCAGATTGTATTTGCATCTCGGACGAATCATCGCTGGAGATCTCGGGAGACTGCGACGAAGACGTCGTTTCACAGCCGTAGGTTCTTTTATCCGCGAATCTACCATTCTCCGAGTGCACGACTACGATCCCAGAGTCCAATTTGGCCGGTCTATTATTACCGCCGGCTTGCAGCAGCGTTATTAATGGTCGCAGCAACGCTTTCTCGTCTCGCGGTAGATCCTTCACTTCGAACATCTCGACAATATCCTTAGTGCCGATGGCGTTCAGTAGTTGCGACTTATATACAAAACACGCGTTCAGACACTCGCTAAATTGCTCGCGGCAATAGAGCCGCAGTAACAGGCTGTCGAGTGTCGTTAATGCTACACAATGAAATTCGCTATCACAGGTCATCAAGTAAATTCGATCGTCCACGATCGTCGTCATGCTGATATTCGTGTACTCGTTGCTCCACAACAGCACGCTCGCGTTCGCGGGATCGATAACGTACAGGCCGCTAGTCGTATAGGAAAATAAATACTTGCGTGCGAGTACAAACAGGTGCGAGAAGTTAACAGACTGCGGCGGCCACTCGCGTTCCGTCTCCTCCTCCTGACTAGATTCTAAGGTACTATCCGATCGAAATATTGCTATAGGCGGAATCGCCAGAGCCTCTTTGAACTGATGCGTCTTCACGACGACCCCGTCGGCCGACACCTCCCACAATCTCGAGCCGGGTCGAGCGCAAAATATCTTCGAGTGATTCTCGCCCAGGATATTGCTATCGTTGTCGGAGATCAAATTGAACGCGCCCCGCGCGTCATTGATGTTTTTCTCCTCCCTCTGTGT